CACTGCCACCCCAGCCCAGCACAGGGCTGCTGTGCCCCAAATGTCATTTCTTCACTTTCTTTGTTGCCTGGTTGCTCAGGCAACAGGCTGCCAGATAACCCTTATAGCCACCCTGGGTGGGGCCGGAAGGCAGGCTGGGGAAGTCACAACAAAAGTCAAATTCAAAGCAGCAGCCTTAAAATCCGCTCAGCCCTCCCCTGAGTCCCGGCCAGGTCTGGGGGAGCAGGAATGGGGAGCTCTGGGGCTGCCCTGCTACCGACGCATTGGGGGACAGACGGGGTACCTCACAGTGGAGGGGTCCCAGCTGCAGCTTCTCAGCACACCCCTATATTAAAAGCATCTGCCTGCAGAGTCCCAGCACTCACTTTTTGCCCCCTTTCCTTCCCCTTTGCCTCAGTTTCCCTTCTTAGCCTCCAAACTGGCCCCAGTGAGAGCTCTTAAGACCCTTCTAAGAAGGGGAGCGGGCTCTTGTGAGCACCCCAGGGTTCCTGCCCAGCCTGCGGGACACAGGCCAGCCCTGCCAGCGCCGCTCCCCATGTCCCCGCGGGTCGGCCTGAGCATGTTGCTTCCTCTGCAGGGCCGCCTGGGTGCCTCCCGTTCTTCCTCAGCCAAAGGGGTCCGGCTGGTCCCACGCCCCTCCCCGTGGGGCCCGGAGTTCTCACCCAGAAGGATGGCACGGTGTGGGCCTCCCATGGTCCACAGGGAAGCTGCTGGGGCAGGGCTGGCCTGTGTCCCAGAGGCTGGGCAGCTGTGTGGCCACCTGCCGGACAGCTGAGTCTTTATGAAAGGGGGGGGGGTGGGCCAGGGCCCTCCCCAGAACTGGTGGGGCAGCTGGAAGCTGACAGGAAAGTGCAGTAAAAACACAACCCCAGGAGCACTGCAGGAGTGCGTGCGCGCGCGCGCGTGCGCGCGCGCGCACACACACTCATAATGGGCTGGAACCTAGACCCGACACAGAGGTGCAACCTGCTTTCAAATCCTCTGCTTGCGGTTCCGCCATTTGAGCTCCTGGCACATTCTCTGAGCCCAGTGCCCACCTGGCTCTTTTCCTCGGCGAGGTGGGCACTGGAGGGTTTAGGCTGGGCAGGGGCCACGTCAGAAGTAGCTCCCAGCTCCCTGCCCCGTGTTTAAACCCTTGATGTGCCTGAGTCGCCATTTGAGCTAAAAACTACCTCCTCCTCTTGTTTGCCAGATGAAGAAACTGAGGCACAGAGAAGCCACATCCAAATAGGAGCTGGGTGAGGGCGAAGAGCCCTTCATAGGTTTGAGGCAGGCACCAAGAGGAGGGACTGCAGGGAGGGGGCCGCTTGCTCCCTAAAGTTGGCCTTTCTGCGCCAGCTTTTCCCCGTTGGAAACTTGTATTTCAGAGGCTTGTGGGCACTGCAGTAATCGACGGAGAATCACGTGATAGGAGAGTTGTTTCCTTTCTGAATAAATCAAACCATCTAATAACAATAATTTAAAAAAAGAAACCAAGAGCACTATTATTGACAAAGCTCTTAATCTGCAGAGGTTTTACCTATTTTAACTCACTCCTCCAAACAACCCTATAAAGCAGGTGCGGTTAGGAATCCCATTTTATATGTGAAGAAACTGAGGCACAGGCAACTTGCACAGCTCGCAAGTGGCCCAGATCCACAGGCAGGAGGCCTGGCCCCCGAGTCCCTGCCACAAGCCCAAGGAGAAAGTCTCTAT